AGCAGGTCCGCCCAACTCAATGAGTTACCTAAGCTATGATTGTCGTGGTTTTGGGAGTCCCCTGGCAATTAGAAAGCTGGATCGGCTGATCCAAAAGGAAAATCCCATAGTGGTCTTTGTTATGGAGACCAAAAAACAGGAAAAAGAATGGGAAACAGTTGTTCAGAAGTTTCAAGGGTATAAAGGTTTTGGTGTGGGTTCCACGAGAAGAGCGGGAGGCCTGATGGTATTATGGCAAGAGGACATTAACCTGGAAGTGAAGGGATATGCAGAGAACTACATAGATATGAAGATTGAGGATGAGGGCAATGTGTGGCGGCTAACGGGTATCTATGGTTGGCCAGAGAAGAGCAAAAAAACACTTGACCTGAGATCTTCTCAGGTCTTTAAAAAACTTAACATACATGCCCTGGATGTGCTGTGGATTTCAATCTTATTCAACACTATGCAGAAAATAATGGTAAACAACCTGCAAACGTCTATGAGATGGATGGATTCAATAGAGCCCTGGCTGATTGCCAGTTAGAAGATCTAGGTTTTTATGGTAAACCATACACCTGGGATAATAACCACAAGGATGACACATATTTGGAGGAAAGGCTTGATAGGATGGTGGCAACAGACTCGTGGAGGAAACTCTACCCTGAAGCTGGAGTTTACCATCTCAGACGTTGTGGCTCGGATCACAATCCTATTCTCCTGAAAACAAATGTCCTGGTGGAGGATGTGAAGTGGGGTCGATATTTCAAATTTGAAGCCTTCTGGCAGGAACATGAGAAGTGCAAACAGGTGATTAAGGAGGGTTGGGAAACTGGTGGGCTTGAATCGATAACAGGAAGGATTAAAACTTGTGAGGAACGACTCATAAGCTGGAGTAAACAAACTTTCGGAAGCCTGAAATCACGACGAATCAAAACTGAGAAGGCTCTTGCAAAAATCGATAGAATGACCAAGACTGAGGCCATTCTGGCTCAAAGAAGAGTGCTTGAGAATGAGCTGGAGGATATTCTTTTACAGGAGGAGGTGATCTGGAAGCAACGTTCCAGAAATGAGTGGCGGAAGTATGGTGATAAGAACACAAAGTTCTTCCATCGAAGAGCTTCGGATAGAAGAGCAAAAAATATGATAAGGAAGATCAAGGACGAGGATGGAAGGGTCTGTGTAGGCCAAGATGAAGTGGCTCGTTTTATAGTACATTTCTACAAGAAGTTGTATACTTTTGGAGTACAAACAGGGTCTAATATGGTGATTGATGCTGTACCACAGAAGGTCACAACAGCCATGAATGAGGAGCTGTTACAGCCCCTGACAAGAGAAGATATCTGTGCCACTCTCAAGTCAATGGGGCCATTAAAAGCTCCAGGAGCTGACGGTATGCTTGCCCTTTTCTTTCAAAAGAATTGGGATATTATGGGGGATGTGATTACTGCAGAATTGCAGGGTTATTTTGAAGTGGGAAGTTTCCCACACTGGCAGAATCATACCATTATAGCCCTTATACCGAAAAAGAAAAATCCCCAAACCATGTGGACTTTCGTCCCATTAGCTTATGCAAAGTACTTTATAAGATCTTCTCTAAAGTGCTCGCTAATAGACTAAAATGGGTGTTGAACAGGGTTATTGTTCCAAATTAGAGTGCATTTGTGCCCGGTAGGCTGATAACGGATAATGTGATGATTGCCTTTGAGTTTTCACTCAATGAAGGCGCGGATATAAGGAAATAAGGGCTTTATGGCGGCTAAACTCGATATAACTAAAGCCTATGATAGGGTGGAGTGGGAATTTTTGAAGGCTATCATGTTGAAATTGGGTTTTGACTCTCGATGGGTGCAAATGATTATGGCTTGCATCACTACTGTGTCATTCTCAACTCTAGTAAATGGCCATCAAACTGAAACTTTCTACCCTAGTAGGGGTCTTAGATAGGGAGACCCCATATCCCCCTATCTTTTCTTATTTGTGCTAGAAGGTCTTTCAGCATTAATTACCAAGGCCGAGAGGGACAAGCAAATAGAAGGAATCAGAGTAGAAAAGAAAGCACTTCAGATCTCTCACCTTCTATTTGCTGATGATAATATACTGTTCACAAGGGCTAACTAGACTGAATGTGAAAGGTTGAGATCTATCATCGGCTTATATGAAGCTGAGTCGGGCCAAAAAGTCAACCTACAGAAATTTGAACTGTCGTTTAGCCCTAACGTTCGACAGAGAAGGAAGAGGGAGCTGGTTGCTATCTGAATATGAGGATTGTGGAGCATCACCAGAAGTATCTAGGCCTACCTATAATCATAGGTCGTTCAAAGAAACATCTATTTGGTTACCTGGTGGACAGAGTTAGATCGTAGGTGAAAACCTGGAAAGAGAAGCTACTTTCTGTGGGAGGTAAGGAGGTTCTAATCAAATCTGTTGCGCAGGCCCAACTGACGTATGTAATGTCAGTTTTTCAGATTCCTATAAGCACCCCTAAGGAAAATAAACGAGCTATTGCTCAGTTCTGGTGGGGACAACAACAGGACGAAGGGAGAACACACTGGTTGAACTGGAAAGAGCTCTGCTAATCGAAAAAGCTGGGAGGGATGGGGTTCAAAAACATCCAGAGTTTCAATCTTGCTTTACTTGGAAAGCAGCTATGGCGCCTAGTACAATACCCTGATACTCTCGTTGCACAGGTGATGAAGGCAAAGTACTTTGAGGATCGTGATCTTCTTGAAGTTGAAGTGGGTAGGAATCCTAGTTGGGTTTGGCGTGGCCTAATGGCTGCAAAAGATTTGGTAAAACGAGGTATGAGGTGGAGAGTGGGGAATGGTAATAAGATTGACATTTGGCTTGATAGGTGGATACCTTCCAATGCCAATCTCAGAGTAACCACTCCAACAGCTCATTGGAGTAACACTACCTCTGTGTCTGAGCTGATTGATATTGAGAATAGGAGTTGGCGAACAAACCTGCTGCAGTCATACTTCAACCCCACGGATCGAATCAACATCCTAAAAATTCCTATTCCAAGCCAACCTATGGAGGATAAGAGAATCTGGGCAAAGGAAAAGTCTGGGGAGTACTCTGTTAAGTCTGCTTATAGACTCTGGGAAGACAGGAATGTAGAAGAGGAAGATGAAATCTATACACCATTGAATTAGAAACGATTCTAGAATCTTAAGATTCCTCCAAAAGTGAAAGTCTTCGCTTGGAGATGGTTGCGACACATAATCCCTACAGGTGCTAGAATCCTAGATCGAACGCAGAAAGGCAGTGTTGGATGCCCTTTTTGCGATCTCAGGGAAATGCAAGAACACATTTTCAGGAAGTGTGTGTAGGTTCAAAGGGTTTGGAGGTATAGCCCGATGAATCCATACATAGATAAAGGGGAAGAACTTACCTAGGAAGAGTGGTTCTGCGACCTTCAAGAAACCGAATCCGATGAGAAGCTTGGCTCGTTCTTGGTTGCTCTTTGGTACATCTGGGACCAGTGAAACTGTCACTTGTGGAATAAGAAGAAGTTAGAGGAGTGGAAATTTTTGCCTAGAGCAAGCGATTGGCTGGAAGATTACCTGGATAAGCAGACGAAGTCTCATCCGGCGGAGCGAGCGGAGGATCAGCGGTGGCAACCACCGCGAACGAGGCCGGTGAAGATTAGGGATGTCAATCCAACCCGTAACCATGGGTACCCTACCCGACCGTAACCGGCCAACGAGGATAATTACCCGCTTTGACGGGTTAAGAGGCGGGTACAGGTAATACCCGGTTTCAAAATAAAGGGTAGGGTACGGGTATGGTAATCGATAATATCCGCCCCGTTATACCCGCCCCGCTAACCAAAGGGTCAATTTCCCTTGAGAAATTTAGTTTAGCTACCATTATTGATGATGAAGATGTAGACGATTATTATGTTTGTGTGGATTGTAGAAGCAAGAACAATTATTATGTGTTTGCTGTTTTTATTTGTGTGGATTGTTGAAACTAGAACAGTTACAAGTATTAAGAATTTCTAATGGACAACAGTATGTAGGGGCATATATGTGTATAAGTTCATAGTTTAGAATTCGTACCCATGGTTACCCGAATATCCGTGGTTACCCGGTGGGTAGGGTATGGTTATATAATTTTCATACCCGGTGGTTATTTGGTCAGGTATTTTAGAAGGCTCTACCCGGCGGTTAGGAGTTGGTATAGGGTAGACCCGCACCCGACCCTACCCATTGCCATCCCTAGTGAAGATTAATGTGGATGCGGCGTGCATGGAAGGACGGGGAACGGGATGGGGAGTGGTGTGCAGAGACGATGAAGGGGGGCTTCCGGTTTGCGGGAGTTCGAAGGTCGCGGATCCAATGGAACCCGGAGGAAGCAGAAGCCATGGCAGTCGATTTTGGTTTGGAGTTGGCGATAAGGTTTGGCTTAGGGGAAATGGAGATAAAATCGGACTGTCAGGGGGTGATTCAGCAGCTGCGAAGGGAGGAAGAAAGGGAAACGGAGATTGGGTTAGTCTGTGCAGAAATCCGGGCCAAAGCCCAGCAGATGGGTGGTGTGTCTTGGTGTTTTGTGGGCCGAAAAGGCAACAGACCGGCCCATTACATGGCCCATACTAATTGTGATTGTGATTGGGATAGTGAGGAAGTGTGGGTTGCTAACCCACCTCATTTTATTGTACCTCTACTTAGAAGGATGAAAACCTTGATTAATTAATTGGAAGCAGTTTTCTATAAAAAAAGCTAGTGCCACATTAGAGAAACCAAGCCCATTCATTTTTGCGATTCTTACCTTTCTCTCTTTTCTCGGTTATTGTATTTCTTCCTCGTTGGGAATAAAATGCAGATGTTTCACCAAGCTAAAATGAAGGAAACCTTTATTTACAACCGGGCACACCAAAACACATCCTACTAACCAAAAGCTAACACACAAACACCCTTTTTTTAAGCCTGACCCACAAATCCATAACACAAAAAAAAGGCTTTATTACTACATCCACTCTACAAACACCATAGTCTCCAAACCATAATATAACTTCACAGCATAACCAAGTCCGGGGAGGATTGCGGCGGATTAGTGACCATGTGAACGACTTCCCTCATCGTCGGCTTGGCCGAGCTCTCATCCTCCACGCACATCATAGCTATCTTAAACAGATGAACCACACCCAACAATGGATACCCGGTCAACCTAGGATCGATCACCGCCAACACCGAGGCTGCATCCGACGGCTGAGCAAGCTCGGACGTCGTCTTCCTCACCCACCTCACTATGTCGACGCCATCGCTGAATTCCCCCACCGGCTTCCTCCCGGCTATTAGCTCCAATAGCACAACACCAAAGCTATACATACACATCACTCTTCTCATCCACCTTCAAGGTATATGCATACTCTGTTTCCAACAAAGAAGAGTTAGACAAGGCCCAATAAAACAATGGGCTTTTACAAGAAGCGGCCCAATTAGGGATTTACCTGGTGCGATGTAGTCGTAGGAGCCGGCGACGGAGGACATACACTCGGAAGCACCGGCTTCTTGCAAGACCTTGGCGAGTCCGAAATCGGCGACGTGAGCTTCGAAATCGGAATCCAGCAATATGTTGTTTGACTTCACGTCTCGATGGATGATCAATGGAGAACAATCGTGGTGAAGGTAGCAAAGCCCCTTGGCAGCCTCGACGACGATTCTGTACCTGGTCTGCCACTGTAAATGCCCACCTTTGGATCCATGGAGCAGCTCGCCCAAGCTCCTGTTTGGCATGTACTCGTAGAGAAGCAAGTTCGTGTCCTTGTTCGACACGTAGCCGAGCAATCGAACGATGTATCGGTGCCGGATCCTGCCCAGGGTCTGAATCTCGGCAGAGAATCCGTGGTCGCTTCGGCCGGTTCCGCGGCCGACGATGCGCTTGATCGCCACGTCGACGCCGTCCGGCATGGAGCCGCGGTAGACGATCCCGGCGCCGCCTTTTCCGATGATGTTCTCTTCTTTCAAGCACTCGAGGACGTCCTCTGCTTTGAAATCGAGGAGTTGGAATGTGGTGAGCTTCCATGCCAGTGATTGACGGATCTTGCGCTTCCGGAGGATGAAGATTGTCACCGTGATTAGGATTAGTAATGTTGAAGCTGCGATGACGGTGAGTATGTCGCCTCTGCATTTTTTAGGCCAAACGGCATCACCATCCAACAGTAATTTCCCGTGGGCGTCATGAAGGTCGTTTTCTCCTGATCTTCTTCGGAGAGAAAGATCTGGTGGTATCCCGAGAACATGTCGAGAAAACTTAGCATGGCATGGTTGGCCGTGGCGTCAATGAGTTGGTCGATTCTGGGGAGCGGGTATGGATCTTTTGGGCAAGCGTTGTTGAGGCTTGTGAAATCTATGCACATCCTCTAGAGGCCCGAGCTTTTCCTGACAAACACCGAATTCGGTAGCCATGTGGGGTACCGCACTTCCCTTATAAAGCCCGCTTTCAGCAATTTCTGTATCTCTTCATCCAGGGCCATCTGCTTCTCGATTGACATGTTTTGCCTCTTTTGCTGGACCGGACGCGTGTTTGGTTTGACCGCCAGGCAGTGTTCCGCCAGCTCTCTCGGCACGCCCGGCATGTCTTCCGGGCCCCACGCGAACAGGTCTGCGAATTCTCGTAGCATTTCGATCATGTTTTTTACCTGTTCGGACGCGAGGTGCGCCGGAACTCGGACATTCTTGTGGGGCTCTCCCTCGTCCAGGGCGACTTCAACTCCTTCTAGAGCCTCTGGTGTTGGAGCGTTTCCTCGCGTGTCCACGAGGTCCACATCTAGGTGTTTGATGGTGGCCTGATAGCACTCTCTCGCCAGTTGGGAATTTCCTCTTTCGCATCCCACTCCAATGCCGACTGGAAACTTTAACCTCTGGTGGCAGGTGGATGGCACTGCCTCGAAAGAGGTAGAGAAAACCTCGCCCCAAAATGGCATTGTACGCGGAAGGACATTCCGCTACATGGAACTCCATGGGTTTGGTCTTCGTGACGTTCCTTTTCCTATGGTCACGCGCAACGTGATTACGCCCAACACTTTGATTTTTGATCCGGAGAAGCCCACCAGCTACGTTGTTGATGGTTTAAGGTCTTCCACCCCTTTTTTCATACTCTTCACCGTGGAAAAGAAGAGGGTGTCGGAGGAGCTCCCATTATCGATTAGGGTCTTGGTAATTTTGTACTTCCCTGTGCGGAAGGATATGACCAGAGGATCCTCTGTTGCTTCCGGACTTGCCAATTATGAGGCGTTGAAGATTACCTCGGCAGACGTAGATGCTGTTACCGCCATGCATTGCGCGTCATCCGCCGTCCTTGGTCTCTTTTTCCTTCCCCCTGATATCGTGATTACCTCGAAATCGTCTTCGACGAGGCGCGGCTGCCTCCTCGGAGGCGGAGCTCTGGGCGGGGAGGGTAGTCTTTCTCTCCTCCTTTCGCGGGAGCGAGACCTTGACCTATTCCTTGGTGACCTGGACCGACTCCTTCTGGGGGTCCTGGAGTGGTATCTCCTTGGAGACCTGCTTTGTCTTCGTCGAGGCGATTGCGATCTTCCTCTTTCCTGCTTCTTTGCCTCGAGTCGGTTGCGTAAATCTCCGGGCGCTAAATTAGCTAGGCTCATTTGGAAGTCGCGGCAGTCTGCCGTGCTGTGCGTTTCTTTTTGGTGCCAATCACACCATCTTCTGAAGACTGGGGCTTCGGGCTGCCTGGGGTCCTCGGCCCGGGCCTTATCACTGCGCCTCTAATTGGAATTCGCCCCACCTTTTTCACGGTCTGCCGCATAGATTTCTCTTTTGTTTTCTCCCCCTCACGCCTTCGCCTTGTAACCATACTGCTCGGGCGATCTTACCTTCCTCGGAGGGGTCTGGTTTCCCCTCTTCACCTCCTTTCCTCGATGTTTTTCCTGATTGTCGGTCGACGTTATCCGCGTCGGCGGATTTAGAGCTTCTTCCAGAATTATCGCGCGTCGGACTAGATTATCCAAGTCCGGCCATGTGTTCAACTCTTGTTCTCTTTAGATTAAGGCTCTTTGGAGCTCCTGGCTTTGCGTCGACATCCTTAGGTTGCCCGCAGCTACATTGGGCGTGATGCCCTGTACTTCGCATGTGATGGTGTTCCATCTGTCATAGAAATCCACCAACGCCTCTCCTTCTCCTTGCGTGCAGTTGATAAGCGCTGAGATCGTCAGCCTACGGCGGATCTGGGATGCAAATTTAGACGAGAACAACGTGTCAAACTGCTCGAAGTTATCAATGATTCCTTCTGGCAGCGAGGTGTACCAGGAGCGACACCTTCCTCCAAACATTATCTGGAATGCCTTGCACATGTCCGCGTCCGTGGCATTGATTAGCTGGTGAACGCACTTAGATGGTCCCCCGGGTCCGTGCTTCCGTCGTAGGTTGAGAGGCCCAGCGACGAGAAGTTGGGAGGCACCGGGTTTTTGAAGAGTCTTTTGGCTAGCGGGTTGTGCAGGACGCTCGGCCCCTTACCCTTCGTGCTATGCTTTCCGAAGCTGGACTGTAGGTGCTCCTCTAGGAAGCTGAGGTCAGCCTCAGGCTCTTCGTCTTCGGCCTCCTCTTCTGGCTCGTTGATCACGACCATTTTCTTATTTCCCTTATGCCGTTGCACTCCTGACGCCTCCGGAGGATTATCCTGTTCTCTCATCCCCTCCTTAATCATAGTGAGGATCTGGCTTATGTTGTTCTGCATCTCCGATATCTGCTTCTCGTGGTCCTTGACTTGATCTTCGAGCTCCACTGCTTCTTCAACTTCTGGGGAGAGGCCGCGGAGCGTGCGCGATTCCACGACTTCTTTCATGGGGGTGGTGGAGTTCCCTGCCATCGAGAGGAAAGTACTGTGATCCCTTCAGAAACGGCCACACGGTGGGCGCCAAATTGTTTAAGCCTAGAATGTTCCAAAGCGTGATTGAGGCTGCTCTGTAGGAATCCTTGTCTTTCCTCTGATGCAAGCGTGCTCCTTATCTGCAAAAAGGATCCGGAGGCGGGGGCCTCGGATACTCTCCGACTCTTAAGTCAGTTTAAATAGAGAGAGAAAGTAGAGAGAGAATTGGGGTAGATGAGTTACCATTAAATGATGTGGTTGGACTTGTATTTATAGTCTGTGAGGGTCGGTATGGGCAATTAATGCTCTGTTGGGCGTGTATCTGACATGCTCTTTTCGTACTTACGCCTACGGCTGCATTTAATGTTGTCAGAGTAGCTATGATTACTGCTACTACGGTCTTGTCGAGTTTACCTTCCCTATGTACGCTTGCGGGCTTGTCCCCGCTTTCCGTGGTGTTTTCCGTTCACCCTCTCGGGCTTCTCTTTCGGGCCTTTTCCCTACCCGTTGGGCCAGCTCTGAGTTATTGGGCTTTCGGAGAACGGTACACTGGGCCTGGGCCCGCTTAGTCATCCCTTATGGCCCAACACTAGCTATTCATTACAAAGTCATAAGCGATGTTTTCTCGAAAAGAGGTAAGAACTTGAACCTCTTATCGGTCATTAATAAATGATAAATTTTTTTGATAAGGGTGATATAGGGTTTTTTTTGTGATTAAGGTACTACTTAAGGGATTCGAACCTGAAACTTCCAGGTTCTAGGCTAGTGGTACTACCACTAGACCAAGCCCTTGTTCGTAATAAATGATAATTAGAATGGGTTATAGGTATAATATGCCCCTCTATTATGACGTTTTATCAAACATGCCCTTATACTAATTTTTGCATCAAACATGCCCCTGTACTTTGTAACAATGATCAAACATGCCCTTTTGTTTAAATTTTCATCCAAAAACCGTTAATCAATGTCGAACTTTGGTTTGGGCGGCACAAATGTCTAAAATATCCCTAATAATTTCACTTTAGAATTTTTTTTGTCTTTTGTATAGCCAAATAATTCAAATAATTTCACTTTGAAGAGACCAGAGAAATAAAACGGGAGACAAAACTGACATTTTCGCTCCCATTTGCCGATACCGGGTCGTCTAAATCTCAGTTCAACCATGATTGACGATTTTATCAATGAAAATCTTAACAGAAGGGCATGTTTGATAATTTTTTCAAAGTACGGGGCATGTTTGATGTAAAAAATAGTAGAGGGGCATGTTTGATAAAACGTCATAGTAGAGGGGCATATTATACCTATAACCCAATTAAAATCTATTTCATATGGTTTTTTGTATGGAATTGAAAATTATTGTGCATGCTAGAAAGATAAAAATAGAGTTGATGCATGATAAGGTTGACATTGAGATGTGTTTTCCTCAATAATATAGAGTACAACTTAGTGTACATACTGTGAGGGGTAATTTTGAATGCATACTCTGAAGCATATCTAAAATTATATTGTGTGGTAAATATGCTAGTAGAATGGGTTGTATACCCATATTTATTTTAAAAGAAGTATTGTATGTTAGTACTAAGTGAACTATTCATGGGATTCTGAACCCTAAAGGTTCAAGAATTAGAATAGTATGTCAAACCAGAGCCACACCAATTAGAAATTTAGAATGATATCATTTGTGGTAACCAAAAGATCATCGCTCAATCCTCTAAGAATGACACGTTATTTCTCTGCTATAGTTGCGAGAAATTAGGCCATATGACACGAAAATGTATGAACAAGTATAACACTGGTTCTAGTGTTAACTTGATTGAAGAGAAGGATTGGTGGATGTGATGATTGTGAAAAGAGTAGAGATTAACCTTGCTGGTAAATCTGATGAATGGTGGCTAAATACTGATAAGCATATTAAGGGATATGCTATTAAGAAAGTGTTGTTGAGTATTGCTCACTCCACTATTGATAATGGTCATGAGAGTATGCATATGATGATAATGTTAAAGTGTTGAATTGTTATGGGTCTTGCATGCACGTCTTTGACGTATATCATGAAGAATTGAAAGATAGAGTCACATTCTCATAATTGTTTGTGATAAATATATGATTTACATAGACAAACTAAAAGTCCAATAACTATATGATTAGAGAATCAGAACCCTTGTATCCGATTTATTTCGAAATGGTTTGAAATGCCTAATGGCAT